GTATATAGTTTAATTACTATATATATATATATATATATATACATATATAGAATGACTTCAAATTGTAACATGAAACTACAGATGTTTATCTTAAATAGCTGTAAACTTATAATAGTACACATCTATTTATACTTAAATTTTATTGTCCTTTGAACTGTGTCTAACCACTATTCACCCCATTATAAGTCATAAATCACTGGCGAATGTACAGCACACATTATGCTGTCGAGTTACGCTACCCTACACTCAAGCATACCTCTTGCAGAATTTCTATTATTTTTTACCTAATCTAACTTAAAAAGTTCCTATTTTTCATTTTAGTTATTTTTAAAATAACAAATAAAGAATACACACATAAAAATCAAAGTTATAAAGTACTTACCTGGATGACACTTAACCCAACTTTTGTATAGTAATGGTACTACTGCATGAAATAATTTTTCATTTAATTAAATAATGCTCTAAAGAACACAAAATAATAACATGCAAAAAGCAGAATATGTCCCTATCACAATTTTTCTGGCTTTCTAACTATGCGATAAAAGTCATTTGAAATTTGGCTAAGCTCGTCGATATGTTTCCTGCAGGAATAAAAGTTGAACTGGAAGCTAAATGTCTGTTTGTACAATCATTAAATTGTAATCAATAACTTTATGAGCTGTATTAGCCACAGATAACATTAATTTTTCCTGTCGTATCTTAATTGCAATCATAATATCAAAATATTGTAATTTTAAAGAAATTAATGTACTCCAAGGTAAGGGTGCTAATATTATTGGTAGATAGATAAGTAACATGTTTATTTGAAAAACCTGATTATTCTATTATTAAGATATGTCAGTTTTAATATTTACCTTTTTTTTTGTAAGTAAAAAGTTAAAATTGCTTGTTTGTTGTTTATTGTCGTTTATATCAATTGTAGTGTTGTTTCATGTTTTTTGGACTCTTAATGAGTGTGCATTTCAACCTCTTGAAAGTATTACTTGTGTAAAAGTCGATCCTTAAATTAGAGGCTAAAAAGTTGGTCACAAAAATTTGACAATTACATGAGTATATATGGTAATCAAAGAATTGTCATTTTAATTTTTTATCATAATTTTTGATTAATTCAAGGTTTTTTCAGCTTAATTCTTTAGTGTCATAGCTCATGAACATAAACAACTAGTTGAAATTAGTGTTTCTGATTATTACTGTTTTTGGTTATCCAAATTTTGTGAGAATAGTCAATTAGTTAAATGTAATTGATTAGTAAGCCCAGTGATTAATCAGTTGGCAAATTCCACTAATCACCCAGGTTTATGTTAAATCACTAAAATGGAACCCTAGTTTTAGTAGCATACATGTGCAAACATACATACATACACATACCAATTTCTCCTACTCCACAGTATCAAACTTTTATAAATAAACATTTTTATGTGATAGTGTCTGTGGATTAAATGACATACTATAAAAACTGCATGGACCATTTTTCATAGAAACACAAAAAGCATCAGAATTGCTTGTAAAATGTTGGACAGCTTCAAAATATAGGATGTAATGTGCCAGATATAACCTTATGGAGCAAGCATTTACAAGATGAAACCCTTTTTAAACCTCATGTATTTTGCTTTACAAGTCTATTAACTATATATATATATATATAGCAAAATGAGTATGATTAATAATTCAGTATAAAGTCAGCTTCACTGTATAAGTATGTAATTAAGGTAATTCTCTAAAGTTGATAATGCTGAGTTAACTTCAGCAAAATGGTGTGTGTATTCATTATTTTGTTTAATAAACTTGATGATATATGACATTTAAAATTGTAGTTAAGGTGTATTCTGCCGTCTCTTAGGAAAATTAATTGCAATTTCTGAGGGAAAAATATGCAGTGTTTAAAAATAGGTTTAAATAAAACACAGTTTGCAGTTACAAAAAACGTCATTTGTTAAATAAAAAAAACTGCAATTACTGAAATCAAATTTACAAAATCTTAATTTGTTAACATGCAGTTACGTGACAAAACTGAAGTTTGTTAACATGCAGTTATGTGACAAAACTGAAGTTTGTTAACATGCAGTTACGTGACAAAACTGAAGTTTGTTGACATGCAGTTACGTGACAAAACTGAAGTTTCTTGACATGCAGTTACTTGACAAAAACTGTAGTTTGTTGACATGCAGTTACTTGACAAAAACTGCTGTTATTTTAAAGTACAGTTATTTGACAAGATGTGCAGATTGTGGGTATTAAATCAATATGCTTGGTTGAATGGTATGTATACACGTATCATGTGAAGCACAAAATAAATAGCTGTCAATATTTTGGTTCACAATGAAGAATCCAATTTATGGCTTTCTATGCTGTAATTAAGTAATGATTTTATATTTATGACATATATTATAACAGATAAATTTGTTTTTTATAATCTTAACTTAGTCTGTTTCACCTAACCAGTTTTCTTTAAGTTTTGATACATAACTGTTTAAATTTTGAAGTGTGTTTACACAAAATATTTATTCTATTTTAATGTTTATTTTCCTGGCTTGTATATACTAAAAATCAAGCCAAAATTTTCATTTTCTAGAAGAGAATAAAAGTTTTTTGCACAACTAGCTGTTTAATTTTACAGGATCTATTATACTTGAGTAAGGAAGCACGTAAATGTATATGTGTAGAGCTAAAGACAAATGAGAAATTAGAATTTAGGTCATCTCTCAATCCTTATATATTATTATCACTATGTGTAAAGTAAGTTATAAAAACCTTTAAGATAATTTTAGGACAATAAACTTTGGCCAAACTGTCATATAGGCTGTCCATTCTTAAAAACAAAATCACAGTAGTTCAAAGATATAGAAAATCATAAAATAGAATGAGTTAGTTTTAATATGAGAAACTGATTGCTAGTGATGACTTAAAAATGATTTACTGTTGAATATTTTTCATCTTTTTAAAAAAACTAATACACATAATTAACTCTGCTTTCGTAGGTAATATTGATCCTTTTTATTTTGAGTATTGATTGGAAATCTTGTCAGTTTTTTGTCCTGGTTATTGTTGGATGTTTTATATTATTTTTCTTCTTGCTGTTTAAGCTCGAGTTTTTCTTCTACTGGGCTCCATTTGTTTATTCATACTTTCTTTTTTTCTTAGCTTTGTACTTCTGGTTAAAAACTATTAAGCCATGGTAAGACTTAATTATTTGTTTATTTAAAAACACTCCCCAAATAGAAACTAAAAATTCGTAAAAAAAATAATAATCAGAGCACTAAAAATGATAATCTTAAAAGATAAAGTGATAAAAACTTAGAATCCAAAATAGAAGGTCAGTTACTACCATTTCTTTTTAACTAAGCAAAAGCACATCTGTTCTTGTCACATGAATGCCAACAAAAAGACACTACATAGTTCATAATTTTGATTTCCACCTGAGGAAAAACTATATATAAACCTAAACATTTTCTCTCATTAGAGTTTAGAAACAAGCAAAAGCAGTCCATTAAAGCCAAAAACTCTGTTACCTTTGGATTTTTTGCTCTTGTCTTTGGGATCATTCATCATTCGTTATTTAGTATCTGTAATTTCATGCATATAAGCAGGGGGAGTTCTGGCAAACCCCCTGTTTTTGTAATGTAAAAAAATTATGTTTATATAGTTATAGCACAGTTGCTTATGGTATTTAACGTTTTCTACATAGTTACATTTTTCTGATGATGCAGTAGCATTTTTGGCTTGAAATAGTTGCATGCAGTGGCTTCTGTAATGAGAATCCTGAAAAAGTATTGCTATTGTCAGGTTGTGTAGGCAGGATTCTTTACAGTAGGTGTCTGTGACTTGTTGGCATTAAATTTCAACAATGAACAAAAAAAACAACAGTCCACTCGTTTCAAAATATTATACCAAACAAGTCAAATGTACATACAAATGTTTTACCTTTTCATTAGATGTTTGTGGATTTTATGTGAACAACCATGCAATTGTTTAAGCTATATTTCATGTGAAATTGCTTCTAGATTTTATTTCTTAGCACCTGTTTTTTACATATTTTCTAGGGGCCTTGGGTTATATTTTGATTTTACAAATTAGAAACCGCTTTCAAACATTCTGTGGATGGACCTGAATTTCCATCTGGAAATGTGACCTTTATAAAAGGTGTAGGGTGTTTCTCTAAATTCTCTTCTGACAAAAAAAAAGTAACAATTTATTATTCTTGAAAAATAGATAATTTTGTAGCATCTTTTTTAAGAAATACTTGACCAAACCTGAATTTTCTGTGGGTGTTTGTTTTACCTGGGGAGCTTTAGATCTTTCTTCATCACTTTTATAAAGAACCATACGACCATTTGATTCTAGTTGTACTGATGACTCATCAGTGATTTTTTATTATCAGCAGTAACTCTGACAAGTTTCTCACAGAATGTTTTTCGCTATTTATTGGTTTGTTGGTTGTTTGGTATTTTTTGGCGCAAAGCAACTAGGCTATCTGTACAAAACAGCTGGTACAAAAACAAAAAGTAAAACTCTATGAAAAGCAAAAAGAAATCA